TTATGTTGTCTAGTTTCAGCATTTACTTCTCTGGCAAAATTCAGCTTAATACGTTTGTGATCACTACCAAGACTTTTGGAACCTTCTTCATCTATTTTCATTACTTGTAACTTACCATATATTTTGTGTGACATGAGTACGTAATCTATAGTTGAATGCAGATTGCCAGTTTCCCAAGTTATGTGCCCGTCACACTTCTGACTGGTATTACATAAAACTAAGTCATGTTTTTCCACCAGTTCTAGTAATATGCTTCCAGTTGAGTCCGTATACCCATCCAGACCCTCAATATGGGCATTCATGTCTCCCATAATAATTATTTCGGAGCCTTCCCCTAGTTCACTAATGTCTCTTGATATGCAATCAATCATTTTTCTGTTTTCCTCTTTAGCACCTGTCCCTGTCCATAAGTAAACCACTCCAAGGACTGTTGATTCCCCAGCGACTTTTCCTTTCAGCCACAAATGTTCGGCGCACTCCTTTCTGATCCTTTGAAAGTTCATATTCTTCTTAATGAATGCTCCAATTCCACCTCCCTTCCTCGTTCCCTCCATTCTGTTGCATTCTTCCCACACATAGTCAGGGTTGCAAGGTGGCTGCTCCATGTCTCTGAGATGTGTTTCCACAAACCCATACACCATTAAATCCTCCTTTCTTAGTTGCTCCTCTACCTCTTCCCATTTTAACCTATTTCTACCACCCTGCATGTTAATATATCCAATGTCTGATTGTGCTGATTTTTTATACCTGTTCTTACGTTTTCTCCTCTTTTTAACCCTGGGTGCCTCTCCTGACTTTGTTGGGTTTTCAGTTACTTCAGTGCCCCCAGGGCCCTCGGTCCCCCCAAAAAAGCAGTCACCGTGCGGCCCATCCTATCCCACACCCTGTAACCCGTGGCCTCACTGTAGTGAATGCCATCTGCAAAAGGGCGGGAGCCAGCCTCGTACACTTCTCTGTTTACTTCCATTACGTCGTACCGAAGCTGTCGACTCATACCCTTAATTACTCCGTTGGCTTCGACAACCCTCCTCTCCGTTAACCCGGACTGCCCCCGAACTTCTGGAATGGTGCACACAACCACATGCACATTCTCAGACACGTCCCTCAGCTTACGTATTCCCACGTTTAGCTGCTTTCCGAGGTTCTGGCTCCTACCCTTCAGCACATCATTAAGCCCCGCATGAACTATTACGAGGTTCCTTCCCTCCCGGTTATCCCACACCCCCTCACGTGCTGCGGTCATAGCATCCACCATACACTTCCCTGGCTGGACCTCTACGGTTACCCTCTGGTCTCCCTTCACCCTGTTATGTACACCCCTCCTAACCCGTGCTACGTTAGAGCTCCCCACTACCAGTACCCTAGATCCCCCTGGTGCCTGCGCGCCTTTGTCCTGCGACTTATCTCCTGTCACCTGACTGCCCGACGCCTGCTGCTCGAAGGCGCCATTGAGCTGAGGTTCAATCAGCTCTCCAGCGTCGTCGAGCCCGCCTGCCAACAGGCCGGACTCCCGACCACCAGGGACCCCAGCCTGCAGACTGGTGGTTCGTCCCGCTAGAACTGACACTTCCTCCTTTCTTCCCTCGCTACTCTCACTCGCTCGAATTACCCCTTCCAGGCGCTCTACCCTACTGTCACACTCCCTCTTACGCTCCTCTAAACCCGCCTTCCATACTTCCCCCAGCTCTTCCGCCTGCTTCTCGAGGCCGACCCGCTGCTCCCTCTCATGATTAAGCTGCCTAGTCAGCTCCTCTACCTGGGCCTCGAGACCCACCCGCTTCTCTCCTTCTGCCTTAAGCTGGGCCTCAATCTCCCGAACTCTACCCTCCCATTCCCCAGTTACCTGCTGAAGCTTCACACAAAGCCGACACTCGAAACTCACCTCCGCCGCCACCTCCAGGCTCCCGAAACCCGTCTCCTCCAGGTAACACCACCTCCCACACCCCTCGCACTGCACCAACTCGTCCCCACCCTTGTCATGCCGACCCAAATCTAGACCCATGTCTAGACCGGGAACAAACCGTCCCTTCCCGCCAAAAATTCAAACAGAGCCTACTTTGCGAAACTAACGTTAACTGCTGCTGTTCAAACCTAATACTGCTACCGCATAGTCACTTCCAATCAACTCTCAAAAAAAGAGAGAGAAAAGAAGAAAAACTGGCACTTAGCTTCGGATGCTCGAGGAGAACCAGGAAACACGTCCGCTCACCGCAACTCAGTCGAGAGACTGAGTTGGTGCATTTCGTGGACAGCGAGCGCCACCGCACGGGAGAGAGAGGTACCTTAAAAACGACGAAAACAAGCACCGACACCTTGGTTCTTTATATTTGTTGTAGTTATGGAACAAATCGACTTACATGAAAAATTTGAATATTATTCGATTCCGTAATAAATTTAGAAGACATTAAGCGCAATACTGCTTATGTTTGAATTTAGATAATTTTGTAAATTCGCTCCGAACGCAAGAGTGCCGAATTAGCCGATTTTGACCATTTTCACGATTTTTTAAAGACTATAATTAAATTTATGATGAAACATTTGTTGCGCTTAGTGTCTCGATAATGACTCAATGTCTTTAAAGCCGAAATTTTCAAGAAGATCCGCGCAGCCGTTATTATGTGAGAATTTTTTTAATTTGGTGAAAAACCTCATGTATTCTCTATGGGGCTCTGAGGTGCGCCCCCTCTTAACTGATAAGACTGGGCTTCGCGGACCGCTAGAATGTCTTCGCGGACTCCAAATGGTCCGCGGACCCCCGTTTGAGAAGTACTGGTTTAGACCAAAAAAACGCAGTCTGAGTTGTGACATTAAGTAATGCAAGACGTCACGCTTGCATTGCGTAATATCACAACTCGGACTGCGTTTTTTGGTCTTAACATGTGTTTCGGCATTGTCATTCGCTGAACTGCCTCCGCAAGTTGCGGTGATTGGCTCTCCGAGTGTTGTGCGGGAAAGCAGACGCACATACTTTTTTTAGAGTGTATACGGCTTCTAAAGCACGATCAACGTGCCTGCGCTGGGCCGTCGTCGTGGGGTCTTGTCTCGACATCCATTTATCAGAAGGTTTGGAGCGCAAAAAGGCGCCGGCACCACGGTTATACAGAGCGACTCCAAAGGTCTTCATACATAAGGAATGCCCATTCCACCTAGAAATTTCACACACCTTGCTCAACGTGGCGGCCTTCAAGAGCCAGGCACAGGATACTGCGTTCCCGCCATTCCCGAAAGGGGCTGTGTGGTCTCCAACATGCTCGGTCTTTTGTAACTTTGCGCACTTTGCCGGTGGACAATGTATGTAAATTAAATGAACCTTGGGAAAGGGAAAGGGGGGGGGGGGCGAAGAAAAGTAGAAAGTTCACACTTGAGCGCTGTAAATTTGTCTTCGTGTAAAAAGAAAAAAAAAAAAAGAAACAAACAGCAAGCCTCGCAGACGGCCAATAACTTCCGGATGAGTGAACTCTCCCCCTCGCCCTCTCCCTGCTGCCCCCTGTGACGCGTATGCAGCATTTCCTCGCAAACGGCGGTAGCCGGGCTAAAACGGTAAGGGATGAGGCCGAAAAGATGCATGCGAGATAAGGTTAATGTTTTCGAAATATAAAACTATAAACAAAGCTCAATATAGCTTTCAAAAGCATAAATCTTCAGATCAAGCTTTACTCCACATCAAAACAAATTAATTGACAAAGTTCAAGAAAAGTTTTACAGATTAGGTTTATTTTGGGGCATCACGAAAGCACTTGACATAGAGCATGTCTTGATAAAACTTCAATATTATTTATACCTGAATTAACTGCATAAAAAGGATGATATCAATATGTATATGACTGAAATAGCCTCTGAAAAATTAGTAGTAAAACAGGGAGTGCCTCAAGGATGTATTCTTGGCCCTTTCTTATTTATGTGAAAAATAAAACGCGCCGAAAACAGTTACAAACTCACGTACACTCTAAAAAAAGTCTGTGCGTCTACTTTCCCACACAACACTCGGAGAGCCAATCACCGCAACTTACGGAGGCAGCTCAGCGAATGACAATGCCGAAACATATATTTAGACCAAAAAACGCAGTCCGAGTTGTGACATTAAGCAATGCAAAACCTCACGCTTGCACTTAATGTCACAACTCAGACTGCGTTTTTTGGTCTAAACATATGTTTCGGCATCGTCACTGGCTGAGCTGCCTTTGTAAGTTGCGGTGATTGGCTCTCCGAGTGTTGTGCGGGAAAGCAGACTCACGGGCTCTTTTTAGAGTGTATCACGGGAATCGATATCGCGCTTGCGAATCGCGGGCAAAAAATCGAGAGAGCGAGCTACGAACTTGCATGTCACGGAAACTGATACCGCAAATCACGAACACAGCAGATTCGCGTGTCACGGTGCGATAAACGCGAGGTACCCACTGCGAACGCGACTGTCACATGGTACCCCGCAGATCGAAAGCTTGATGCGACTCCAGTCGGACATCCCGTAATCGATATCCAGCGGGAATCGAATGTTTCAGAATTTTTTAATGCTAAAACTATAACTAAAAAAAAAAAAAAAAAAAAAAGAAAAAAAAAACGAGGCGCGTTTTTTTGGGGGCGAGCGTTGATACGGGATTTTACGGCACTGATAATTTTCAGTCGTTTGCAAAACATATAAAAAAAAAAAAAAAATCAATGTTAGAGTTTAGGGTAATAAAACTTTTTTTTTTTTTTTTTTATGGAGTAAATCAGGTTTATTTTATTTAAATAAAAACGCCGCTGAGAACAGAAGCAGCGATGTGACCGGCGCCGGCGGGCCAACGCCACGGACGACGATCGTGTCACGGAAGCCAAGCGCAAGCGCGAGGCCCGGCGACGCCAGGACGCCACGCCGGCCCCTGAACATTTTTAATAAATACTTCAATCCCACCATAGTACAGCTTCGCTGGTCTTCCATCTTCACCAAGTCGAAAGGCTGAAAGTTTTCATTTGGGGTGGGCGTTCTTACGATATTTCACGCACAGAAAATAGAAACTAACTTGATTCCATAAGAGTGATGTTTTTAATGCGATCAGGAAACATTTACATAATGACGACCACAGTGCACAAGCGTGCCCAGACACCAAAGCATATTTGAGAGCATCGTGAGAGTATGAACTAAATAAACATACTCAAGGAGTCAGAAATAGTGCACAACATTAAATAAGACCCACAGGTCTGAATGAAAACATTTACAAAATTTACTAATGTTATGTTGCAAGCTTATCTAATGTATCTATATTTCAGTGGGAACTTTCATGCTGTGCAGAAGCGGTGAGATGGTTGTTTGCTGGAAAAGCATTAGAACATTTGGGCAAATAATGCTTCATGGTCTGTAACTTAGTCAAGTGGTAATGCAGCTTTTCGAAATAGGAACAGGCACACACACTCGAATTAGAAGAGCACAGCCACCCACAAACAATGGCTTCGATATTGTAGGCTACTCAAATAAACAAAGAAGTGTGTTGGAAAAGATTAGCACAGAAACAGGTATCAGAAACAGAAAGTGCCAATTTTTTGCATCAGAAGAACAAAAAACAATAGCTGCATTCAATTTAATTACACCACCTGCACCAGTGCAAAAAGTGTAGGGCAGTGTACCTTCTGGTATGCGTATTGAGATACCAACTGGAAGTACACTGCCCTACAATTTTCTGAACCGGTTCAGGAGGTGCAGACAAATCGAACGCAGCTAATCTTTATCAGAGCTCCATTTACATACAAAGGTATCTTACACAAATGTCTGTCAGCTTTTTGTGCAAATTAACAAAAGTCCCGACACTAGGAAAACGTCAATACAGAGTCATCAGAAGTGGGCTCCAGAAAACTGATTTGCCTCCTACTACATAGTCAGTGGACAACCAAGCTACGAACAAATCATAAAAGCATGATATAAAAAATTACAGCACCCACCAATAGCCTACTCTATGAGGAAAATGACCCATCCCTGCTCCAAATGTCCATCTCAAAGTTTGCTGACAAACTCGCAACGTTACATTCCACACTTGTTCCAGCCAAGCCATATTTTATTGTCTCATCTACCTTACCAGAGCAAAAACTGTGAGAAAGACGACAGACTCTATGAATAACCCCAACTCACATGTGCTTGCACAAAGGGAGCATCTCAATAAAGCCAGGGGCTCTAGCCAGCAGCATTCACTATTAGTTGGACTGAATGGCCGATGGAAAGTAGACACATTTTCCTGCAACCTCCACCCAAACCGAACAAGGAAGAACCAGAATGATAGTTACGATGAAAGGTGCACGTTGGGAAAGGTAGTAAAAACTGAAAGAATAGGACGCTCCCGACGGATGGGAAATACTCGTTGCTACTGAAAAAGTTGCAAATCCGTTTTCTCTCTTGCGTGTTTCATTCTCTCGGTTTTCGCTACCGGAACGACGCTTTCGCCAAGTCACGCCAAAGGAAGCTTTACAAAGTGTGCATTCTTCTACTGCCTCCGAACTTATTGCCCCGCTCACTCGTTCCTAATGTGCACATAAAAGCATCGCTCGGACCCTGCTCAAGTCTACAGGCACACTTTTTCCAACTGAACTGGAACCCCCCTGCCACGGCCCTTGTCTCAAACTCAAAACAGACACAAAACAGAACACAATGTCTCGAGCTACGCGACGCAAACGGTGTCCATCGCGACCCCTCAACTTGGAGGGGGCGGGGGTGGAGGGGCGGCTAGCACGCCGGAGAGGGCGGCGAGGGTGCTCAGGTCCACCATGGTGGTCGTGGTGGTGCTGGTGCCGGTGGCCGTGATGGCGCTTGCGGCGGTCGTCGTGCTGTCTCCGCCACCCGTCGTGGCCCCCATCGGGGGAGGGGGCGGAGGGGGCATGGGCATGCCCATGTTCATGAAGGGGCCCCCGGGTCCGCCCCAGGGGAACATCTGCGGCGGCGGGGGCACCCCTCCGATCGGCGACTGCCAGGGGCCGCCTGTCGAGAGGGCGGGCAGGCGCATTTAGAATAATAGAAAAAGAAAGGATAGAAAAGGTTTTTGGATTCTGGGCAAGGAGGTACTCTGATAACATAAGCTGTTCTCCCCAGATATTTAGTTCCATGCAAATAACGGAGGCCAACGGTCGATCGGGCTGCCTGAAGAAGGCTAGAGGCAAGTTCCTTTCCCTGTTTGATAGCTTTACAGATTCAACGCTAATACAGTTCCTGTCCTCACAAAGGATGTAGAAGGCCTCTAATACCTCGCGAGTCAATGTGTCTTTGTTCTTCCCCAAGATGTTGGTCTCACGGAATAATGGTCTACACGTGCAATGGGGAGGAAGATTTCCGCCCACTGTAAATTTCAGATGCCTCACTGACCGACTCCGGGGGCATGATTACTCCTTGAAAGCTACAGTGGGCAGAAATCTTCCTCTCCATTGCAGGGAATGCACGTGCAGACCATTATTCCGTGAGACCAACATCTTGGAGAAGAACAAGGACACATTGACCCGCGAGGTATTGGAGGCCTTCTACATCCTTTGTGAGGACAGGAACTGTATTAGCGTTGGATCTGTAACGCTATCAAACAAGGAAGGGAACTAGCCGCTATCATTCACGGGGCTGTGGTAGATGCACGAGTCCGTGGCGGATTATTTGGGTTTTTTCTTTCTCTTCCTTTCTTGTCAGTAAACATAGTTGTGAGTAGCGCTCTTTTCTGTCCTGTCCTTCTCTCTACCTTGTGCGCTAAATATATCAATATGTCCTTCAGTCGTTTATCATAATTCCGGCAGCTGAAGAATAAAATTAGTTAGTTCATTGCTAGCTCTAACAATTGATAACCAGGCACGTTGATGGGCACTAGTAAATTGAAATTGAGCACGTGGCTATGTTTTGGACACAACTGAAGGAGCACACAAGTCAAGCCAAAACCCAGAGGTGATGAACAAGTGTGTGGTTATGAGACGGTACCCTAACGCAACAGCCCTTTTCCCAGCTAGCATAGCACGGCGACCGCGTGAACCTATCTTTCGTAATATTATTACATCCATTTGTACAATTACCGTATTTACTCGAGTAATAGCCGCTCAATTTATAAACAAGGCCCTTTCGTCTGCTTTTCCACAGAATGCATATACAGCCAATCATCGCATTGTGCATAAATAACATAGCGAATAACTAGATCGAGAACACGATTCTCCATACGAATGCAATCTTCACAGGTGGTAGCTTTGCGCGAAGACGTTACCTCTGTCCTCTAAATCGCTAGAATCATGCTGCCGATTGTGGTGATTGGCTAGTCGCATGCTCCGCGGAAAGCGAACCCTCAGATTTTCTTCATGAACAGTCCGGCTATTACTCCAGTAAATAGGGTACAAGCCAAGTTACAAAAAATATTATGTGTAAACAAGTCTGGCAAAAAGAGAAAACCCAGAAAAATTACGCTGGCATTTCAGAAGCCCAGTTATGGTAACCCATACATACTTTGGCCCCAATAAAAACACATTGTGTTATAGAACAAAGACTATTCCATCACTGCTCTCTAACAGATGGAGGTTTTCTCTCTTTGCATTTGAACTCCGAGATGTTTCACCATGCAGAACAAAGTGCAAGGCAGCAGTGTCGGTTCGCAACAAAGGAAAACGCTGAGGGCATCTCGCTGGTTCCGGCTTGCGCCAAAGGTCACACCAGGAGTTCTCCTTTTTGGTCTCACGGAACCCCAGGAAGCCTCAAAAACTGCCGTGGAACCCCTATCCTCCCCCCCCCCCCCCCCCTCCCTCCGTCCATATTTGCCTACTGAGATACAACAGATGCACAATTGTAGGCAATTTCGCTTGTGTTGCTTCCCATATATCCCCACCATATCAATCGCGATGTCAGTAACAGTGAGATGAAGGCGCTTTGCATAGTCCTTCCGCGCAGCCTGCGGCGTGGGGACGGAGGTGGGGGGTTGCAATTTGGGTGTTCGCGGAACCCATGAGACCAGCTCGTGGAACCCGTGCTCCCGGAACCCAGTTTGAGAACCCTGGGTCACACTATGAACGACACCAGCACTTTCAAAATGCACAAAAAGGACAAAGGAGAAAGGTCGGTCCCTACCTGGTCCCGAGGGAGGTCCTCCCATCCACGGGGGCATGCCCGCTCCGGTTGGGGGCGGGGGTCCCATCATCGGGGGAGGGGGCACACCACCACCCATCGGCATCCCACCCTGCGTTGGGACACAAAACAGAAGAACGCCATTCACTTTTCATCACCGGAAGGAGGTCACGCAGGAGGCAGTCGAGGTTGACAGCAGCTTGCCTAGCTCGACCGCCAACAGCATGTTTTGCTAACAGGCAAAGGTCGTGGCCTTCTGGATGGTTGTGTTGCATTAGATCATTAAGCTCCAGTTTTCTGTCTCATTTTTCCTTTCCGGGAAAAAATATAGAAAGAAAGAACCGAATCCTAGAAATCACCGTGTCAGTCGGTTTGTGAAATGCAACAAAAGGAAATATGAATTCTTAGGGAAACGACTTTGACAACTTTGAAGGCATGAAAATAATAGTGCTTTCTTCATTTTTCAAACTACAATCGAATCTCGTTATTTTAACCTGAGGGAGACCAAAACTTTCTTTGAATAATGCAAAGTTTGAATTACTGGGAGTTCCTTAGGAACACACAAGACAGGACCTGCATGTTAGTTTGAAGTAACGAGATCCCACTGTAACATCACGAGGCACATCGTAAGGTCCAGGGCATCTAAGGGCGGCATGTCAGGAAGAAAGTCAAGTTTTAATTTCACACAATTTACCTTCTGGGATGTTACGGTAAACACTTCCGAGCAGTAAACCATAATTCAGGAAGATGTGCAAGAACAAAGGTGAGGACCAACATGCCCAACAAACAGTTGCCCAGATAACAAAAACAGAATGCAGCTATAAGCAAAGAGACACAGTGAAAGCCCATTCATTTGCATTTGCACCTCATTAATTTTGGGTAATTCGAACAGCCTGACATGGTTCGACCACACTGCATAGAGGTCAACGTAGTAAACCGCAGTTTAATTCGCTCGCAAATCGGCCACGGGTTCGACACAAACCTCCAACTCCAAAATTTCCTTTTTGTAACATTCAATGTAACTGAATCGATGCTTAACCCTAAAATACTCAAGTGGTTCGTCCCCTCTGATATGAACCTAGACAATATTTTTGCCGTCGACAAAAGCAACTATGTCTGCTGTCCGAATATTCGGTGTTACGTGAGGAGGTATGCAAGACCTCACGCACAGCAAAACTGCGTGTCAGGGTGAGGGTGGCTCATTTGACGCACCTGTCCAGATCCCATGGGCTGCCAGTTCATCCCACCACCCATGTGCGGAGGGGGCCCCATCATGGAAGGGGGACCCGAGCGGGGTCCACCCTGGAGCATCATACCCTTTGAAGGTGGTCCTCCACCCCACTGCGGGGGGCCCATGCGATCCTGCGCAGCGAGAGGACAGAGAGCGGCCAATGGGACCAACGAAAGACTCTGGCAGTCTTCAACAACTCTAAAGGTGTCTGCAGCCACATGGCAAGTGTGCAATGCCAGAATTCAACCACCAAGACGTTGATCTTGCAGGCTGAACTTCCAGTTCGTAGCACCCATAATGTAGCAGTTCAATGTTAGCGCAAAGACACTTTTAGACAGGACGAATGGCTGCTTCCACCTGAATGGACAGCAACTTGCAAACCTAGGCACCTGGCGTGAGAGTTGAAAAAAATCCGACTGGTCCAAGCCTCGATCCTGGCACCTCTTCAATACCAAAGGAGCACTCCACCAACCACACTAACCAGGCATTAGGCATCGGATGTGAACAATTGACACCATTCATAAACCAAAACACAAAGGTGATCAGCCAATATTAAATCACTGTACCTAAAGAAACTTTCTAAACAAAGTGCTAACATCTTATAAGAGGTTAGGACACTGACAAGCAGGATGTTTTGAATGTTAGACCTCCAAATATTGATTCGTGCTCAAAACGTGCAACTTTGCATGATGTGCACATGACACGGCTGAAGAGCAGGAAGTGGCACAGCTCACCATGCTCATGCTGCCGCTGTTGCTGTTGATCCCTCCGAGAGGAGGGGGTGCCATGATCGCTCTGGGAGGACCTTGGGGTGGCCCCAGGGCACCCTGGGGTGCCCCACCGCCGCCTCCCCGGCTTCCTCCGTCACCGTCCCGCTTGGATGGGGGAGGTGGTCCCTCTCCCAGCTCGGCCATGAGAGACATGTACTGTGGAGAGACACGGATAAGCGATGAGTCCTACCGGTGGCATCGATAAAAGACTGCAAAGATAAACCCTCTCATCACAAACTATTTTTTTAAGAGAATTCACAAACTCTACAGTTAAGACAGAACCAACAGCAACGAAAGGTGCGGTTCATAGTTGTGCTTTTGTTGTGGGGTTGTTTTAGCCTTAGAGAATGAGCATCCGTTGCATCTGCTACTATGGCATGACTGCTGCGGAGGGTAACGTGTTTTAAAGCGGAAGGCACGCCACACCAAGGTGCTGGTAACAGCCCTTCCTTCAAGGAACCGCATGCAGTTGAGTACAGAACAAATATTCATCCCAAAACTGCCCGCTTCATGAAATTTGTGCGACGTGCAATGGGACTTGCTCAAACTGCTACATTCCCATCAAGAGGAAATGTAGCTGAAAACTAGGCAGGTCAGGGGGAAATGCTGAGCCATGCCTCTAATGGCAGTAAGTGCATAGCAATAACTGCAATAAACACATGCAAAACAAACAGCTACAGTCATGTCTCGATAATAACCCCGCAGTCTGAACTATGGACAGCTATATTGTCACGGGTGGTGAGGGTGGTGAGTCGTGACCAATAAACAAGAAATAAACAGAAATAAACGTTTAATGTGGCGAACTTGTGCCAAAAATAAAGAAGGAAACAGAAGAAAGCAGGGCGTTGCGGGCGTCGAAGTCGGCGTGTCAGCAGAATCGAGCGCTAGGGCGAGACTGACTCGACAAGGTCGCGGGCGGCCTCTTATCTAGAGTGCGCCGCTATCTCGAAGATTCGGCGAAAGTGGTTCGAGCGTCGCGTGATCGGGCGAGAATGAACACGCACTTTCTAGAAAACAAAAGCAGGGATAAATGATAGAAGTTACGTGCGGTACATGAATAAACGGGAACTTTCTGGAGGACCGTGACCGAGCGTTGCTTTCTCAGCCTTGAGCGCGGCAATATTGGGAACAAATTGGGTAAATGCAGGCATTCTTGTCTCGTTATTATGGACACCAGTACCCCAGTTTAAAAAAATATAGGTCAGAAAACAACCCCTAAGATATTAGTGAACCCAAGAGGTCACAGTGTGCACCCGGAGGTTCGTTGCCGGTCTTGCAATGAAAACTGTACACCACAAGATAGATTTTTTTTTTTTTTTTCCCTTCACGTAGCATGGGTTGGTACCGATTGCAGTCTATTGTTGCTTGAGATTGTGTATGACTTTCAGCCGAGAACAAAGAATAATGAGCCCTAAAGCAGCTAGGCCCCTTACTGTACACCCCATCACAGTTTGGGAAATGGAAGAGAAGGACCCGTAAACTTAATTTCTCTGTGGTCAGTGACAGGTCAAGAATGAAGTGAAAGCTCCTTCCACCTCTTCCCATTTTAGCAGAGTAAACGCTAAAGAGGAGATCACCTCCATCCAACATTTGCTCTGCTAACATACTTTATGCATCTCGATTGTAACTCCAACGACTCAAGCGAGAATCTTGGCACTCTCCGCCGGTGTCCTCAGCTGTTGATGGTTAGCGTCTACACCGCTTCGTCGGCTTACTAACCGGTCGTAACAGCTTGTCCATCTGATGCTGTCATTCATTTCCCTCTCGTCAAGTGCTACCGATGGCAAAAGTGGCGCAAATGCTGTCATAACAAGCAACTGAACCAGCAGCATAAGAATTGAAACCCAAATACAGTTGTCTACCAAGCAAGCTTCGCTCGTGCAAGTGCATGTTCACTTCAGTTGTCAACACTGGAGCAGTACATCAAGTATGTTCGCTTGTGGCTTTTCAAGTTTCCAAAGTAGACACGTGATTATGGGTCACCCTCGGTAACTCAAGCAAGCACTTATCTGTCTGTGGCGTCGGAATATAAACAAGCTATTGTCAACACCAAGCACACTTTTTTTAATAACACGCTTCCATCTTTGTTATCCACCGACCCACGCAAGTTCTGGAATGTCATCAGTATGCGTGAACGTAAAGACGTCCGTCTAAAATCCGAAAGTGGCCTGTTGGTACCACGTCATGAGAGCTGTGTTCTTTTGAATATTACCTTCACATTGTTCTTCACGAATTGTGCACCTACTGCATTACCTGTTATTCGAAATTCAGATTTTACACGCATGGAGCCTATTTTCATTGACTCGGTTGGTATTTCTAAGCTGATTGGAAATGCGAAAGTTTCATCTTCAGTAGGTATTGATGGCATCAGTTACAAGTTTTTGAAGAGTACTCTGACTTATTCATCTGTCATCTTGTCTCAGATTTTTTCACAGTCTCTGCAGTGTATCACCCCACCCGGCGACTGGAAGGTTGGCACGGTGGTTCCGGAGCACAAATCTGGTGATGTTTTTAACCCTAGTAATTACAGACCAATTTCCTTGACATCCATTCCATGCAAGATACTTGAACATGTGATATACTCCAATCTTGTTCTTTTCCTTGAATCAAATTCCTTCTTTACATCTTGCCAGCATGGTTTTCGTAAACATTACTCCCGTGAAACCCAACTACTCGATTTTACTAATGACTTGTTTTCTGTGTTAGACCGTTCATCTACCGTTGATTGTGTTTTTCTTGACTTCGCTAAAGCCTTTGATACACTTCCGCATCATCTACTACTTTACAAACTTAGCAAACTTAACCTCGATAGCAATATTTTAGGATGGATTGAGTGTTTTTTGCATGATCGCACCCAGTATGTATCAACAAACGATTATGATTCTCAACTTTCTTCTGTGTCATCAGGCGTCCCTCAAGGGTCTGTCCTAGGACCCCTCCTTTTCCTCATCAACATCAATGACCTTCCTGACTCTATTGTCTCATCTGTTAAACTTTTTGCTGATGATTGTGTTTTATATAGAGAAATTTCTAACTCCTCTGATGAATCTATCTTTCAAACCGATCTTAACAGCATTTCCGTGTGGCCCGACACTTGGCTAATGAAACTCAATGTTAACAAATGCAAGGTAATGAGAGTCACAACTAATCAACTAATCAATCCAATCCGCCTTCTTATCTTCTTAATTCTTCCCCCTTGTCTTCCGTTTCTACCTATAAATAGATCTGGGTGTTCACATTACCTATAATCTTTCCTGGCAAACACATATTGAATACATTGCTAATAATGTTAACCGCATGCTCGGTTTCCTTCGTCGTAATTTCTCTCTCGCTCAGATTTCTTTGAAACTGTTATTATATAATACACTTGTGCGCTCCAAAATTGAGTATGCTTCGTCTCTATGGGATCCACATATCAACTCGCTTGTTCTAATCCTTGAATCTATCCAGAATCGCTCTGCCCGTTTTATTTTGTCCAACTATTCCCGTTTAGCTAGCGTCTTTCAAATGAAACAAACTTTAAATCTCCCCGATCTCTCTATCCGACGTCGCATCTCCAGACTATGCCTCTTTCATAAAATATATTTCACCAACGACAGCCTTTGTCAGTCACTTTTTACAGCCCCCTTTTATGTGTCATCCCATTCTGATCGACTTAAGGTTGGCGTACCCAGTTGTAGGACTAACCTCTACTTCGACTCCTTTGTCCCCAAGACCAGCGTGGACTGGAACCACCTTCCTGCCTCAGTCGTCTCCATCAGCGACCACATTACCTTCAAGTCTGCCGTGTTTCATCACTTGACATCGTAACTATTCTTTGCTCTACATGGTTTTGTTTTCCACCACTCCCCTCTGTAATGCCTAATAGCCATGAGAGTAAATAAATAAATAAATAAATTGTATGGAGGGTTGAAAGCACTGATTGCAAGAGTGCACAAGAGTAGCCTTAGACTAGGACAAGGGAGTAGTAGCGGTAGTAGTAAATGAACTAATCTAGCATTTCTTTGTTTGTTTCTTTGCAATGGTTCAGCTCTGGATGCTTTATCAAGTTTCGCCAACGCTTTGCCGGCTCTGGTTTCGCGTTCCATCCCAAGCCCGTGCCATCCCATTTCACCATTTTTCCTGGGCCGTCTAAGCTCCTTTCGTTCTGCGATTTCGTGACGCCATAGCAGAACTGCTGATTTCTGAACAATTGCTTTTTTTTTTTTTGTGTGTGTGTGTGTGTGTGTGTATCTGTATGCGTGTGTGTGTGCAAGGGGGGGGGGGGGATGGATGGTAAGTTTGGATTGTATGTTTCCTCAGGTAACACGTTTTTTTGCTTGCGGTTTCTTCAAGACGTATCAATGAGGTTCCACTATAACTAGTCGATGCACATAAATATATTACGCTCCATCTTTGGCACAACATCATGTGTGCAAAAAGAAACCCCTGCCGAGCTAACTGCCGCCCCAATTCACATGAGAAAGACAGAACACGACGGGGAAAAAGGCACTCGATTCGCACACTGTAGAGCAAACATGAGAGGGTGAAAAGTTTGACGCCTGGCCAACCCACCTCTTCGTCGATCTTGGACTGGGGTCCGCCGCCTCCTCCTCCTCCGTCTCCCCCAAAGCCCCCTCCTCTCCCATAGCCCCCTCCTCCTCCTCCTCCTCCTCCCTTGCCCCTCTCCCGGCAGTCCCTGGCGATGTGGCCCGTTCCGCCGCAGCAGGCGCAGATCACGTTGTTGGTGATGTTGGGCCGGTCAGGGCACTGCCAAGCCTTGTGCCCCGGGGCCCCGCAGTTGGAGCAGCGAGGTCCCCCGAGCAGGTCGTTCTCCCGCAGGGTCCCGTTGAGCAGGGCTAGCTCGCGCAGCTGCATGCGCCGCAGATCGTTCTGGCCCTCGGGAACTTCCACTCCCTGCCGGATTATCTCCTTGATCTGCGGGACGGATTAAGGGAAGAGAGAGGGAATGGTTCGCCTAGAGCCGTTTGTAGGAGCCCGCAACAATGGCCGCAGCACGGAGCTCGGGTCACGAGCTCCGTGACGCGGGTCACGCGCAAATTAAAAACGTGCGGGCAGTCGGAGCCCGCGCACCAATCGATTCGGTCGTGTTCTTTTCCCCATAAATGGTGACCTGGAATCTGAAGGCTCCCCGTCGCCTTCTCTAGCAGCCTCAACCAACATGGATCAAGGCAACGCTCACACCGGCGACGGCGCGCCACTTCAGTCCTCTGACGCCAACCTCGCAGCGGTCAACTTGCGCCTTCCCCCTTTTTGGCCGAAGAACCCGCGAGTTTGGTTCACCCAAGTCGAGGCGCAGTTTCATCTTCGCCGCATCACTACCCAGCTCTCACGATTCTACCACGTCGTTGCCTCTCTGCCGCCAAACGTGGCCGACGAAATCGACGACGTGCTGACGGAGCCACCGCGTGAGGACGCATATGATCACTTGAAAAGCATTCTGCTCGAACGAACAACGGCATCGGAGCGGTCACGAATCCAGCAACTTCTGACAGCCCAGGAGCTAGGAGATCGCCGCCCATCACAACTTCTCCACCAAATGCGACAGTTGCTGGGTCCCCAAGCCACCGATTCCCAAGACCGTATACTGCCGGAGCTCTTTCTTCAAAAACTTCCGCAAGGAATGCGCATGGATCTTGCAGCTGCTGACGACATGCCGCTAGATCGTTTCGCCACGCTGGCGGATCGGACTGCTGAATATTCAGCCCCTTCTATTGCTGCTGTGGCATCTCACGAGCCTCACGAGCCCCAGCCCTGGCAAGCAACAGTCGCCGAGATCAAGGCAAGCATAGCAGAGCTTTCCTGCGCTGTGGCCGCCATGAAGGCGTCAGACGAAAGACCTCGACAATCCAGGCGCGGCTCCCCTCACGCCCGTTCAGCCTCGCGACGAGCCTCGCGGTCAAGCAGCAGAGCCCTGTGCTGGTACCACCGGCGTTACGCGGAACGGGCCACACACTGCCATCAACCATGCTCCTGGTCGGAAAACACCGAGGCCCGGCACTAGCAGCGGCGAGTGACGATGGCCAACACACAAGCCGCCTTTTCTACGTTGTTGACCAAATCTCTGGTCACCGCTTCTTAGTGGACACCGGGGCCGAGGTGAGCGTCTTGCCTGCGTCACGACTTGACCGTCAGCAAGTGCAACATACCGCGCCCCTACGAGCCGTCAACAGCTCGGTAATTGCCACTTTTGGCCAGAGATCCCTAACCATCGACATAGGACTAAGGCGACTTTTCCGGTGGGTCTTCATTGTCGCGGATCTCCGTCAAGCCATACTGGGAGCGGACTTCCTGGCAAACTTTGGCCTTGCCGTCAACATCCGTGGCAGAAGCCTCACCGATGCCACCACATCCTTGACCATCCAGGGTATCCTGTCGTCATTCAACGCTTCCCTGATGCGTCCCCTGGCGACGACGTCGAGGTATGAAGCCCTCCTCACAGAATACCCTGCCATAACCCGGCCCTGCAATGCGGAGGTACCAACCAAGCACGGTGTGACACATCACATCATCACCAGTGGCCCGCCCATCTCCGCGCGTCCTCGCCGCCTATTTGGCGAGCGACTAAACATCGCGCGTCGAGAGTTCGAACATATGCTGGAGCTCGGATTCGTCCGCCCGTCTTCCAGCAACTGGGCGTCGCCACTACATATGGTCCCGAAAAAAGACCCGAATGATTGGAGACCATGCGGAGATTATCGAGCTTTGAATGCACGCATGGTACCTGATTGGTACCCTTTGCCGAACATTCACGATTTCTCCGCTGGGCTTGCTGGTACCAACATCTACAGCAAGGTAGACCTGATAAAGGCCTACCACCAGATTCCCGTAGAGCCAGCGGACGTGGCCAAGACTGCCATCACTACTCCGTTCGGACTTTTCGAATACGTAAGAATGCCCTTTGGCCTGCGAAACTCCGCTCAGACGTTCCAACGCCTTATCAACGAAGTGACCAGAGGACTTCACTTCATTTTCGCGTACGTTGACGATATCCTCGTGGCCAGCACCTCTCCGGAAGAACACGAGCAACACCTGCGACTGTTGTTCGACCGGCTGCAGGAGTACGGTCTCGTCATCAACGCGAAGAAGTGCGTTTTCGGCGTTGATGCGCTGGACTTTCTGGGCCACCGCGTGACGAAAAGGGGCATCTTACCACTCGCAGACAAAGTCCGGGCAATCCGCGAGTTTCCCCAACCCACGTCACTTCGCAAGCTTCGCGAGTTTCTGGGCTTGATAAATTTCCATCGAAGATTCATTCCGCACTGTGCTGAAATGATTCAGCCCATGACGGATCTTCTTAGAACCAAGAAAGGGCCATCATCAGCAGTTCCATGGAACGCAGAAGCTGCGTCTGCTTTTTCCAACGTTAAAGAAGCCTTGGCCAATGCAGCCCTGCTTTTCTATCCGCAACCTGGAGCCCCCACCCGTCTCATGACTGACGCCTCCAGCACTGCTGCCGGCGCTGTCCTGCAACAGATGCTTGACGGCGAGTGGCGAACACTTGTATTTTTTTCCCAGAAACTGAAGCCCGCCGAAACACGTTACAGCACGTTCGGACGTGAACTTCTTGCAGTGTACCTGGCTGTCAAACATTTCAGGTATATCCTTGAGGGTCACGAGTTTCACATCCTGACGGACCATAAGCCTCTAACGTATGCTTTCCATGGCAACCACACCGCCTACTGCTCCCGAGAGATACGACAACTTGCTTTCATTTCCGAGTTCACGGTTGATCTCCGCCACGTAAAAGGCAAAGACAACTCAGCGGCGGACGCGCTCTCCCGTGTCGACGCCGTCTCGGCAAGTCATGGAGCTGTCGATTTTGAGAGCATTGCTGCCGCACAACGAGATGATCCGGAGTTGCTTGCCCATCCCGACATGCTGAAGTCCTTGGTACTCAGGGAAATTCCTCTCCCTCATTCTAACGGTACCATCCTCTGCGACATGTCTACCAGTAGTCCTCGACCTCTTGTTCCGCTAGCTCTTCGTCGGAAAGTTTTCGACCACCAGCATTTCGACTGTAATGTTCTGCCAAACTTAGAAGAACAATAAACATGGTTCCCACTCACACTGACTCCTGGCAACGAGAATGTCACAAAATTGTCTAGTTCTGAGACATGCTTACATTGGTCCTCTAGGACACACAGCCACTTAGATATACTCCACTACACCTTATGACAAACTGCAGTGGATGCTACGAGCCATTGCAGCCGATTCAGAGCTGTGGACGCTTCACCTGACTACACAGCCCGCGCTTAGTTGTGCATCTCCCAAAAGAAACGTGACACATGCATTGCATTGGATTGACTTACGATGAACTGTGCTGCAGTTCATCGAAAGAGGAAGCAGAGTATAGCATGTTTGTGCCCTTCACAATTCTGCACATAGTTTGTGTGCTGAAGCACTCGCATGATTCAAGAGGGAAAAATCCTGCAGCATAGGCAGTGATGTGTTTGGTACGAGCCATTTTGGTGCAGCAAGAAGAACTTTTGAAGCACGAGCACACACTTCATTATCATTCATACCATTGCCAACATATACGTTAAGATTTGTGTGTTGGCCTGTCAAACTATAATACAATGTCTGTTTGCCTTACCACTCGTGTACAACCTTTTTTTAGCCTCGACTACATGCTAGGCTTGACTCCCTCAAACACAGAACTAGCTGTTTAATTCCATGTAGAAGCACTAGACACAGCAACAATATGCTGATTGGTGAAGGACAGTATGAACTGATGTGTATGGTTATTTTAGACACAAAATCAAAGATAAGCCAAACAGTACATTCCACTGAAATAATGTTACAATAATATAATTTTGAACACCCAAATTAATGTTTTTGGTCAAGTCCTAAAAGTTGTTATAAAACAGCCATTCTTGATTCAGATTAAAAAAAAAAAATGTCTTTTGCTTATGATCAATGACATTTTATATGTAGAATATCATGATAACAAACATGAGCAAGTGGGTGTAAATAAGCTTTTAAAAAACCCATCCAGCCAAATTTGCTAGTCATTCCTACGCTTCCAGCCACTCCTCCAGCTAATTTAGCTTTAAACTACTGTATCGACTGTGCCATCAAACAGATAAAACCTATATCACATGATAACTAAACAGAGTTGACATAAAAATAAACATAGAGCAGTCCTTAAAAATCTTCTAGAAATACTTAAAGGAGCGGTGCAACGATATTCAATTGGAATGTTTTTCGCTTGACACGAGCTTACTGGCACACCTGGGACTTAAGGATACTCACACGCAACGCCACTAGCCAAGAAACTCCTTTGTTGCGGTGTAATTTCAAGGACAAAAGCGATCATTTTCATTCAATCTCTCCTTTGCAAAATTTGATGCCATAACGTGAGGATCGCAGTACACCCAAGTGACGATATTTGAATACGGTTCATAGATTAAACCCGAGCATTGCGTGGGCACTCGACTTGGGCTCGTGATAATTGCTAGCTCGAGAAGCATTGGGGTGGTGACCCGTGTCCAATCGCTGCAACGACGACAACAGCCGAGCCATAACAATGTCTGGAACTCAGCGCGTGTCCTGCGCTTTGCCAACCCCAGCGCGTGGCTATGATCAACACTGGCGGCATATAATCGGCTCCAGATCACGTGGCCGCTTGTTCTGGCTGCGAGTTGAGGGGGTGAACACTGCTCGTTTTTCTCTAATTTTTTTCTGGGACTTCTACTGCATGGGATGAAAAACGAAAGCATGTTTCATAGGTCATTAACGTTAGGGATCTGTTTTAAGCGGTATTTGCGCAAAGTACAAAAATTGTTGCATCGCTCCTTAAGTATACGTGCTAAATCTCTTAGTGTAAGCGTGAGCAGTGGCGAAGCAGGATGCACAAAATCGCAATGCCTCCTCCACAATTGTCGCTTCACTGCAGTGCACTAGTGCGCAATGAGACGTGCACTCGACCAAGCGTCTAAAGCGCCGTTTACACACTTGCAACCGATTACAACCGAGAGAGACAAGACAGGGGTGCTATGTTGCGCTTTTTGGACTCCCAGGAGACTAGGGAGAAGGAAGTGACGTCAACAACGCAGCAAATGCAGATTGGATGTTGATTTTGTTTTCTTCTGTCAACATCCAATCTGTGTTAGCTGTATCGTTCACGTCACTTCCTTCTCCCTAGTCTCCTGGGAGTCAAAAAAGCGCAACATAGCACCCCTGGATGCACTGCTGCAGAGCAGGTCCTTTGCCGCCGTAAGAGGCTTAAAAACCGGTCTTGTCCCTCTCGGTCGTACTCTGTTCAAGTGTGTGAACGGCCATTTACCCGTCAAGACCGACCACGAACGCGCCCAAAATATTGTTAAACTTCCAAATGCTTTCAGTGTTAGCTACAGAGAGAAAATCAAGATGGCATGTTATTTGAGGCGATATTCAACAGTTTTCCAAACTTGCACCAGCCTGCTGCGACGATTTGCCAGTGTAGCGAAGCCCGGGCAGCTATATTTACACCATTAATAAAGTGCAATCAAGCTTTCGCACAACGTTGGCACAAATTTATCATATTTCGGCAAAATAAATGGAGCAGGGTAAGTACTTAAGCGCAAATGGCGCAGCAATCGCATCACTGCACGAGGCACACAACGAATAAATATACTTTATATTCTTAGCCCCGAAGCAGATAACTATAAATAAAAATATATTAATAAAGCTGGAAATAAAACAATGTCAACAGGCAGGTAACTCATGATGTTTGTATTTTCATTATACAAATAATAAATTACTATAAGCAACAAACTAGATTTAAAAAAGAAATTATGATAGTCGAGATTTGTGGCTGCCCTAAAATGGCACCAGCTACTTTTCACCTATTCAATTGCAGAAGGTTAGTGATTAACAAGTTTGTACATTCTCATCATCAATGCGTCGCAAAGGGGCAACTCCTTGTGCAAACCCTCCCATGCTATAAATAAGGCTACCTCACTACTCCACGATATGAACCCGCTCTTTTGCCACTTACGCATGTTGGCAATGTTACGTATATCGAGGAGGGGGAAACGACCACCCCCACACTGAATAAAAGCTCCCGAGAACAGGTTGCACAGTGTCAACAAAAAACACTTCCCACACCAATAAATGCCCCCCAGTGATGTTTCACTGTTCTTGCCCACTGAGCAATGTAGATGGGTAACAGCCTTGTCAGGCAGAGCAAATCTGCCTGTTGCCTTGCTACACTAGACCTTCTGCCTCAACAAATAAAGGCAAAGAGGCCGAGGGGTCGAGTGCCCCGCTCACCCTGTCGACAGCCTTGCGCACGTTGTCCTGGTTGGAGGCGGTGACAAAGGCGTGGAGCGGCTCGTCCTCGCCAGGCAGGGGCTGGCCGTCCTTGCGTCCCACCTTGCCCTCCTTCACAGAGCCCTTGCCCCGGATGATAATCTTGGCCCCGGTCTCCTTCTCCAGGGACTTGAGCGTGTTGCCCCGAGGCCCAATGAGCAGCCCCACAAAGTTGATGTCTGGGTGCTCTTCTTGCGGGATCATCACTTTCTCGCTCACGCGGATCAGCGGGGGCCTGAAACACATGGGAGGACCTTTTCTCCATCTGTCACACTCTCTACACTTGGGTCTAGGAGGCGACAAAGCCGGTCACGGGCGGACTACGCCACCATCGTTACCAGAAGGAGTGCAAGAATACTCTTTGGTCGAAACAACCCTCCTCCTTCTTTTCCTCTTCCACGTCATTTTCTTATCCTCCTCCCCCTCCCCCTATAAATACACTAACAGTGCCTGGTGGAACCCCACCTTCTTACCAAATACCATGTAAGCCAATACTGGCAACTCCCGCGGATCGCGGGCGAAAAGTGATCGCAGCGCCCCTGGCGAGCTCGGAGTCTCCGCTTGCAGACGAATTCTCCACAACGCATTGGTTTTGCCTATCTCCGTGCGAGGTGACCAATGAAAAAAAATTGTCACTAGTATTCGCTGCTTTGAATGTTAAAAAATAAGTGCCACCTCATGAGTCGAGGACATTTTCTTCGTGCGGGAAAGATGTTACAGCTTGTAGGGTGAAATTTTCGGGTTCTCCTGAAGAAAAAACTCTGCCAGAATTGATGTAAGCCAGGCAAAACACGAATGCGCCTTTGCCCTGTTTCTTGAAAGAGGGCAGTGTAAAAAAGTTTTAGAACATTGCTACGATTCAACTTTACTGTTCATATCGATTAATTTGTTTTGTAATTCCAATTTCTCATGAATGTATTGCTTAAAACCGTTTCGTCGAATACGCGAGCTGGCTAATCCCGATCGTTCCGGATCAAGAAGAAAAAGACAATTTCAAACCACGTACCTTACTGCGATGCGAACATGCTCTGGAAATAGTTGATTGTGCACATGCAAAGCTGAAGCTATTACTAAAACTAATAAAAGCGGAGTTACAAAAAAAAAAAAAAAAAAACACCCGTCGGAGGGTTGTGCATTTCCTTCCATTTTTCTAAGTTTACTTTCTCTTTATGTTTGAGGCAATGCTACGCCGCCGTGGTCTTTCCTCCTCCTGCGTTTACGTTTTTTGTTTGATTTTTTATTTCTTGTGTCTACTTGAGGTTTGAACCATCACGTATTTTGCTTTGCCTTGTTCGGCTTAGTTTTTACTTCCTTTCCTTCGCTTCGTCGCTTACTACCACCGGTTCGTCTGCTACGCTATGCCCGGAGATAAGGAAGGCCGTCTGCAACTTTGTTTCTACTTGTTTTTTGCTTTTTTGGTGGTAAACATTAACGGCGAGCATCATTTGCTAATTTTCAATGCTCCTGCCGACGCCTCGTGCGTTCGTCGTCGTTGAAGGAGGTCTTTGCTGGGTGATTTGTATCTTTGTATCGTCTGCTAACTTCTTCGTTTCGGTGTTTGTGGAGAATAAACCTATGTTATTCTCCACAAACACCGTAACCTAACCAGCACGCTCCATTTTCACAAGAATTCTTCGTTTCATTCGCCCTTGTTCGCGGCTTTTCCACATTTCTTTTAATTGTCGTCTGAGATGGGGACCCTATCTTTTCTGCAAAGTTCGGAAAGTGTTTGCATGGTCTTTTTGTTTCGTTGCTTTTTTTTTTTTTTTTTTTTTTGTACTGCTGCAGAGGCTGGTGCGCTTGCTCTGGTAATTCTAACATGTTTGTGCGCGTTTTAATAATCACTTCTTTAGGTAAGAAATTGTGAAAACGCAGTTTGTAACGGATAAACAGTAACCTCTTACGACGTAGTTCGAATAGCTAAACGCCTTTTTTCCGCTTCCCTGATGCACTTCAAAGGCGAGTGATCCCCTGAGTGGCGTTTGAGACATAGAAACAAACTGCTCTATCTTTGTTTATGTGCGTGCTGTTATTTGTTTGCCGTTGCAGTTGCGATCAGTGGACATCCGCTTTCCAAGCGGACTGACCGTAATAACAGTTTTCTGCTGTTGCGGTGACAAAACGGGGCACGCAAAGGTCGAGGATGTCGCAGGGCCTACACTTTTCCATTGCGACGTCTGCTTCCGTAGACTCCGAGTCCGCTAGAGGCGCCACTGTCACGCAACAGGGGGGGGGGGGGGGGGGGGTAAGAGGAGGACGGTATTTCCACGACTCAAGAAATAAGTATTAAGGGAAATTCACCAACGCGCACACCCCGAAATCCTGTGATGTCCGAAAGCGCAAGTTTCACTCACAGTGATATACTTTTGTTTATTTGTAATGTTAAATATTTTATTAAAAGTATCTAAGTTGAAAACATAAAGATCGACTGCAAAAGACCCCAATGCATCAAAAGGATATGAAAAACAGTAAATATTTTTCGGCTTATTGTTCCCTGTCGATACTTACTCTTATATTAACATGCTCCTACACAAAAATAAAACCTTATGTTGTATTTTTTTGACCGTTGTGAGTTGCAGGTTTTTTGCCTTCTGTAACCGTCTTCACTAAAAAAAAAAAAGAATCTTTCCACAACAACTTTTTCGCATGATACAGTATGATTTCCAACTAATTACAATAGTTGATTTTCAGCTTTTGGTGATAAATTTTCGCTTGCAATATTTTGCCATCAAGGGGAGAGGCACAACGGCGCATGTGCGTCAGTCTCCCGCAAGAACGACGGTTGCTTCCCGCAGTGCTTGGCAAGAAAATGACATACCAGCGAGATTCACACATTTATCAGCGACCTCCGCGGTTCCCCGTTGTTCGGAAGCGCCATAATTTGCGCAGTGAATGTTACGACAATGTGAAATACGGGACATTTTGAAGATTTTGGAATTTCTTGCGGGACGCGGGACACAAGCCCTCAATGCGGGACAGTCCCGCGAGTCGCGGGACGGGTGTGTTGAAACTTATTGTATGGAAGTGGGCATCCCGACAAAGAGGAAGAAGAAGCGGGAGGTCGAGAAATAGAATGCACGAGAGGGATCGAGGCCTGGCCATGAGCGGACGATGCCGGACATTTTAATGTAAATATTTGTATATAAATGCTGTTGTTGACTTCATCTAGCTACTAACGACTAGTCAGCCGTTATTACAACATGGTGCCGAAACCCGGGAGAGGGCTTAACAAAACGGTGAGAATCTGACTGGACCCATCAACGGAAGGTCACAACAGCCAACCTATAGCAACGATTGACCGGCAAGATGAGCAAGATTTTAGCCAATGCAACGGATGCCCAAGACAATATCACCCTCAACGATGTCGACATCGAGCACCTTCTGCAACAAAGATCTGCGTTACGCAACAAGGTAACGACACTCTTTGATTTTCTGGAGAAAGCAATGCCAGAAACAACGACAGCCGGACAATTTAACGAAATCATCGAGATGCTAACAAACTATGAATCTCAACTTAAGTACCTGGATGATGCTATCGAACCATTCATACCCACTGAAGAACTTGAAGAAGAATACACTCACGTCATAGAACTAAACGACCACATCGTAGGACATCTATGAATGCTGAAGATTAAAGCCCAACTAGTCGATCAGCAGGTGACGAAACTGGAAAAAGTAGAGAGAGAAAAGCCACAATTATCTAAACAACGTAATATATCAGATATGAGTTCCATCAGACCACATCTCGTGAGACAAACTCAGCCTTACAGCAACAATTATGAACTCGGAACTGTCATCGGTGTGACAACAGACTACGCTGACGATCGTCTAGTCACAGAACATAAATCAGAGCAGCAGACGAAGGACAGATGCGCATCAACTGGAACGACAAAGGTGACCAATACGCTACTGGACGACAACCCCGTACAGGCTACTTCATCGAAGAACATAGTCTACATGCTAACTGGAGAAGAAGTCATGTCTGGTTTCAAGAAAGAGTATGAAGCCGGCACTCACAGAGGTCATCACAGTCAAAACGAAGGCGAGTTGGAAACAAAGAAGAATAGACTCAGAAAAGCACAAAAAGACAGGAAAAAACGGAACCGTGCCAAAGCAACTAAACAAATAAATGGAACCTTCTTGAACAGGAATGTCAAACGACCTCCTCAACGAAACAAGCAATTTAAGAAACAAGGGAGACTATACAAGCAACGAAGCACAAAACAAAGAATCGGCATACATCAGCGCCTAACAAGAGCTATAAAGGAGATTAGGAAAAGAGTGTATCGTACACTTCGCGCCTTGTCCCGTCCCCGTGGTTTTAACACACGTGGCTGCACGATCGACTTCCAGATTCAATGGAATGAAGGATGGAAGACTAAATCGCTCGCTCAAACAAGGCAAGACATCGTCCCTGGATTCTATGCAAATGACAGACATGACGTGACACAGAACGACCTAAACGGCAATGATAAAATAATCACCGGGCTACCAACGCGACCTTCCGGGAAGCATAGACGTCCAGAGAAGGTCAGAATTATCTTTCTTCCAACTTTCAACTTTAATGCAACAGCGCATCAGCTATTTCTTCTTCTAGCGGGGGGGAGTGTGTTGAAACTTATTGTATGGAAGTGGGCATCCCGACAAAGAGGAAGAAGAAGCGGGAGCTCGAGAAATAGAATGCACGAGAGGGATCGAGGCCTGGCCATGAGCGGACGATGCCGGACATTTTAATGTAAATATTTGTATATAAATGCTGTTGTTGACTTCATCTAGCTACTAACGACTAGTCAGCCGTTATTACAACATGCCCTAGTGCCAATTGTTATGCTTGGAAAAAGAGTTTCGAGAAAGAAACTAGGGCAGCACGAACAAAGTTTGGCGGCAAGCTACTGCACGTCGCGGCCAGGTTGTCCGGGCACTGCACAGCCACTCCCACAGGACGTCCGGGGGCAACTAACTTGTAGTCGGAAGGCGGCTTGTAGTCCGGATTGATGGTGAACATCTCCGTGATGTGCATGTGGCGCTCGTCTTCCAACCTCTTCCGCACCCGGTACTCTCGCGTGTTCAGCCTCTTGCCCGCGCTGTTGTAGATGGGCTCCGGGGACGGAGACCTGAGCACACAAAGGGAGGCCCGCGGCCGTGTAGGTCCCAACCCACTCGTCCACTCGCTGGGGAAATGCTCAACCCGCTAGCTGCCAACAAAAGCCTATCCAAAGAATGTGAGGCTTTCCGCCATTTCTTTTACGACCCAACCACGCGGGACGTTTTTCACGCGCTTCGTCCGCGTCGGCATTGCCTTGCGTCGATCTGTGCCGCTGTCCGTCCCGGCCAGACCTCAGCGTTGGCCCGCGCGTCATTTTGTTGCAGGTGGTTTCGAGCGACGTGCACCAACGCCGATGCGGGCAAAGCACGTGAAAAAATGCCTCGCGTGGTTGGGGCTTTAATGTGCCATATACTCGACAGAGTAAAACGCAAAAAAGAAAGAATGGCAATTGGTCGGCGCATCCGCTTTAAAAGAGGTAACAACAAACGGCGTTAAAAGTGCAGTTGGATGCACAGGTGTCGTTTCCGCCGACAAAAAGCCTTCCGTCATGGCGAACAGAAGCTTCATGAAGCTATCCCCTTGGCAGAAATAAACGCCCGTGATGCATATTAAATTCTCCACATATCGGATGCTATTAGCGCGGCCGGGTCCCTCGGCCCTTGCAACGCCGGCATCCGGACCTGCATTATCTAAAAGGGATGCCCATGCTGGAGACCCGTCGACTAAGACCCTTTTAGCCCCACCCTCGTTTGACGTGAAAGCTGCAAGCACAAAAAAACATGTTTTAAGAGTGTTAAGGTTAAAGCAATCTGGAACAAAAGGTGTGATTAAATGGCCTGCAAAAACGTATCAAGGATGAGATGGATTAAGCAACGTCCTGCGAGGGAAGCAACCAGCTTCGTCTAGACGTCCCAGCCCCGACGCTGCCTCATCCGGCTGTCTCGGCGAGGCGGTCGCAGAGGCAGCGGGGGCCAAGTCGGCACGTTATATAGGCCACAATGCCGGCAAGGTGGTTCCAAACCCGGCACAGGTTGCGACTGCCTCGAGGGGACCTGACTGCACTATGTGCACAGAGTTGGACTCCATGGACTTATCACTAAAGCTAGATGGTCCGCTAAAGGTGAGGACTGGCGGGGAGCTTTTTAACTTTCCATTTCCAGGCTTTCGTGAAGTTCAGTACAGCGTGCTTAAGGGCTGCACAACCAAAGAGAGTTTGCCATAGTTTGTCCAGCAGTTACTGCAATCTAAAGAAGTGATCTCAATGTTTAATGGGTGATATGCTAAGAATGCAGTAGAAACGTTGCCTTCAGCACGAAGTTGTTGCGTTCCGTTGTGCTTGGACTGCAAAAGCAACGAAGTGCAATAAAAGGTAGAACGCTCCCGCTGAAGGCGAAGCATCCACTACATTCCTAATTTGTCCCGACTATAGTGCTAAGACGGTTACACTTCTAAATGCCTACGTATGAGGCTCCTAGGACGTTCGTTAGCTGAAATATAGTAACTTGATTATGAAAGCCAAAGTGGTGTCAAGGGTTGTCAAACATCGAGTCAAGAGACGCTGGAGAAGTTTGCGAGTTTCTTCTCTTATGGCAATAAATTAACCTATCTGTTATAAGTTAGCTGAAAAACCCAAAATTGTGATCATGCAAAATCTATTTTAATATCAAAGGCTCAACTGAGTAAAATAGCTGCCGATTACCATAGGTTGGTTTTCTGTAGGACAGTTGGAGAGCATAGACTGAGTTACCGCAATAAAAATATCAATTCAAAGACTTTCTTGGAGGACGGTCCTGCTGTCCAGGATATGCATGCCCAAGTAATTCCAAGTTAAATCGTTTCTGTTTCTGGCCAGGTTCTAAGGCTAATGCAGCACAGCTGGCATTAGTTGGCTAGGAGCAATGCATCAATGCCTAGTTTATGGAGGTTTAAGCCAAACTTCAAGTAGAGAAGTGCTTTAGCTTCTGCAGAACAATAGAGAGACTTCAGGTGTACTATGAACCCCTATAGCTACATGCTAGAAAATTCCTAGATTTCCAGGAACCGGGTTGTGAACCCTTCCCTCATACAAGGCTCAATACAACCCTGGTGAGAGTCTACTCTTGAAATTACCGAGGTGCCGTACCGCCTCGCAGAACAGTTAAACCCCCAGCTACCGGCGAGCCCCCACAAAGGCACCAAGTTACGCAACCGGCAACACCGCCGAACTGGCCCTGCCCCGAACAGACTAGCTCGCGCGAAACCGGGCAAGTCCCAAAAAACGACGAAGAGAAAGGAGAGTGTGTTTAGCCTTTTGGGTCCACGGCGGGGGAGGGGGAGAAAAGATTGCGTTAGGCGGTGCAGCCCGGGGAGGCGGCGGCCCGTTGTCCAAACCTTTCCTCTGGGTTGTATGGGATGCCAAGGTCCTCAGTGCGCAGCCTCCGGCTGAGCTCTTCGATCTGGAGTTGAACTGGAAGAGACGGGGTTAGAGAAGAAGAGAGGAGGGGCGGGGCCCCCCACCAATTAACACTGGCCCCTCGCACCGTCCGCGGCGGCAGAGGCAAACACTTGCGAGAGAGAGAGCCACCCGTGGCCTGCCTACAAGCGGAGGCACGCCAGCACGCCGGGTCCGCTAGGAAAGCACCTAGGCACGAGGAGGAAGACGGCAGCCGCCGGCAAGTCCCAAACTCTGCCGCTGGCTTGGCCTGAGAGTCAGTCGTTAGCGGCCACTGTTAGCTGGTCGTCACCCTCCCGCTCGACTCCAGACGGGATTTCCCTTGTCTAACCTAGCCCCAAATGCCCGTAATCTGAGAGACAAAGTTCTGGAAGGCTATCTCAAGGCGTGAAAACTCTACGAGCAGTAAATAATGTTATGGATTGCTGATACAACATATATAATGTCAACAGATAAACTAGTCCACCCAACCTCAATGGCTGGGGTCAGCAGAGAAAGCATTTAACATTACCTGCTACTCCCAACACGCATGAAACTGTATTCAGATCTACATTAGTACAGGTTTTAGTGCGGAACAGCATAATGACCAGATGCGCGACATTAGATGACAAGTTCTCTGCGGCCAAAGACGGCGAGTGTTACATTTAAATGAGTCAGTCTTCTCTATCAGCCATATAGTTCTTCCTCCTCATGTGAAACAAAATGGTTAATCAAATACAAAGTGTTGATTAATAACATACTGCTGTTTCGTCATTCAGCAGTGAATGCTATACTCGTGATGCTAAATAGAACTCTATGTGTGCAAGAGCACTCTATTAATTCTGATTACATGAACAAAGAAAAACTCTTGTCGCAGTATCTGGCTGGGCAACTCGGAGCATTATCAGTGGAGCACATGTCCATATTGACGTAGGTAAGCTCGTTTGCAAACAGCGAGGCTCAGCTACCGAGACAAGAATAACACAGTCCTATGTGCACCAGACTCTGATTCACCACAGTAAGCCAACCAAATGTGCTAGGGCATTACTTCACTGGATCCCCCAAAACACCTTTGACAATTGAATTGCACTTACAACTCAATGCCGTTCTCAAAATAATCTAGCCATTTTAGAAGATTCTATGACTACAGAGAAAGCCCCTCAGGCACACAGCTGCAGTGAGAGAACCTTGCTTTAAAAAGCAATAAAAATGACCGTGTGCAAAAACTCCAAATTGAAGTAAAAAAAAACATTACCAATTACAGTGGAATCTTGTTAATTTGAACCCAAGGGGGTCCAAAAACCAGCATGACACCCAACTTAGCGAGCAAAGTTCGAAGCACAAAATTCCAGCCTTACTGCTTTAAAACTAGACTTTTGGATTCAGATACTGTATGCCAATGAAGGGACATATGGTTCTAACAAAAGGTACATAGAATACGACAAGCACTCGTTTGAACCTGTAAACATTAATGACGAAGTTAATTAGGTCCCCAGGGTTGCAGGAATTGCCTTTCAATGGCTTGCACGAGAGGACAGTACACCAGCAAGGGCAGCCCATTTCACTGCCAGATGCTGCAAGATAACATTCTGGCAGACTTGTTTCAGGTATAAGTACACATCCAAATAACTGCATAACTGATATCCTGGGGAAGACAATGACAGGAGCATACACCCACACATAATTAATGTGTTAACACAGCTCAACACCACCCCAGAAAACGATGAATCAGCCCAACTTACCTGCGCTGCAACATAAAGATAGTGCAACAGTGTCGCAGGGAGCTAGCGAATCGAGCATTTGGGAGCTGTTTCATTCTGGTACCAGATGAGAACCACATAAATGCTCGAACTTCCTAAAGGTAAGACTAAAAAAGTGCCAATGCTAAAACTTCTGATGCATTTAGCAACCAGCCACAACTAGGTAATCCACAATCCCCATTTCAAACACTCTTTGCAACTAGCGCCCTACGACAAAGAGACACGAAAATTCCGATCAAAGGCCCATACGTCACCAGGCTCCAGGACGCAGTCCGGATTCTTAGGACTAACAGCCTCCACGACATCGGCCACAGTAAACTAAGCCCAAACACTGAAACCATACGATACACTCAAACCAGGGGAAAGAGCACAGCGGTGGCCGAACTAGAACAACAAGAAGAGTGAATGGACGGAGAAGAGACTTACGCAGATAGGCCCTCTCCTGGTTAGGGTCCAGATTGGTCGGGAGCACAGTCGGCATCCCCGGAATGAACACCTTCTCTTTCTCGTCGCAGCACCAGCGACTGCGCCTCTTGCGACGGCGCTCGGAGTTCTCCTGCGAGCCGAGGCTCGTGTTGCTGTTCTCGTCTTGGCTGGCCCACGAGGGCAGCATTGAGACCACCGGAGGTGCTGCAGTCATGGCAGCTGGAAAGACAAAAAAAGAAAAAGAATACTTGTCGACATGACTTGCACCTGGCATGCTTCAGAGACTGGAAGTGCAGTGCCATTACGGCAAAGATAACGAATATTTAAGGAAAGCCTTCTGCAAAACCCTTTTCGTGTTAGAGAGTGGCCATCGAAGCGCTTCTCAGTTGTCCCACTCCAACTGCAAACAAGGTGACATCGAAGGGCTTGCACTCTAGATGGGGGCACCCAAAAGGAATACCCTACCCTCCTTGGTCAGACCATGACCTTAACAAAATTTTACACACTTCTTGACTCCACAGTTTATTTGAATCGATAGTCACTGACAGGACAATGGCAGGGAAGTCCTTCAGCTGCGTTGCATCCAGCACGAACCATCTACCTTCAGCAACACTGCAACGCCTTGTGAGCTTATAATGCGCATCCGCCGCCAAAGCACAACAGAAGCAACGAGCACGTGCTGGAGGACAGGCAACCAAAAGAGACACCTCTCACTTCTTGTCATGTCGACGACGATAAACGGCACTACAGCAGCGGCTCTTAAACTCTTGGCCATAATGGGCTTCTCTGACCCACTCGGAGACCGTTCGAGGGCTCCAAAAGCATTCTTGTAAAATACCACAATTTTTTTTTTTTTTTTTTTGAGTGTCAAGTTTTTTAGAGCTTTAAAGGTCTATTTACAGGATGCATCTTGTTGGCGAATCTTGTGTCGCGAAACTAAGTTTCGGGAAACAGATTCTCCGTCCGAACGCAACCGAAAAGGTGTCGCGCTTCCTTGCATCTGGAGCAATTTTTCGCTGAAACCTCACCGAGGCCTGTCAACCACCTGAAGGAGAAACGTGGACACTGCCAATGGCCGCTCGACTTCGCCATGACGTCTGACCTTTGAGGAGGACCGAAATTTTGGAGGAGTCTGATTTTTGGCCGATTCCGTATCCAAACAAAGGCCGAAAAAAGAAAAAACATGGCGAGTAACAAGCAGAAAAGCGATGCATACGGGCGATGATTCTTGGTCCTACTTGGTTGCAAATGCGTGAACGGCGCTTTAGCAGTACGGGTTGGTGATGCGGTGAAGATTTGTTAACAGTCGCGACGAGTGCAAGCACCACATATAAACATGACGGCGGGGGATAACTTTCTGTTAGCGGTGAAAAAATGTCCAAAATGCTTCGAGATCATCCACCTGTTTTTTGACGTTCACGAACATTCCCGGGTTTGGCAAAACTAGTAAACCCAGTGAGCCGAATCTGACGAAGTTTATTGAGTGATATTAATAGAACAGCCTGTCTCTTCACATTATGCATACTTCATATCATTTTGATGCGGAACGCTTGATATTCCCAGTGCAAATTCCAACGTTTGGCGTCACAGGCTTCGCGCGTCAATACGTCACAGGTTTCGCGCGTCAAACTCCACATGTAAACAGGTCGATTTTGCGATATCTCGGTTTCGCTAAACTGTGGAGTGTTTAAAAGATGCATCGTGTGAACAAGCCTCAAGTTTGTGAGCTCTAAAAATGCTTTTGGAGCTCAAGAACACTCTCAAGGAGCTTAGGGGCCCACAAAGTTGAGAACCACTCTCCTACAGTATTGTTATTCTGATAAGATGATTACTCTGGTATGCTATCAAGTAATGAATGGGAGACTTTGCTAATACACAACTTTCCTTTAATGAGCAAGGGAAACGAGTCATGAAACCCGGGTTCCCTCTATAACCTTGGACAGCCGCCTCAATCAAAGATGCATATGATTTGGTTCCAATAAGGAAGTCTGCCCAATTTCAATGCCCTAATTCAGGGGTGGCCAGGCTGGCCTGGCCTGGCCTAAAAGTAGCAAACAAAACCACGGAACTTCTAACCGCCAAATTTAGAAACCTCACTCAAGCTACACTCAAACTGAAGGGCCCCTCCACTTCCTCGAGGGAGGCGCGAGGGCCAGCGCTGGCCAATCGCGACGGCGGATCCGTCCTCGCGATTGGCCAGCGCCAGCCCTCGCGCCTTCCTCGAGGAAGTGGAGGCGCCGTTCAGTTTGAGTGTAGTTTGAGTGAGGTTTCTGAATTTGGCGGTAAGAGCTGCGGGCGGGGGGGGGGGGGGGCTTAATTTAATTTTATTTGTTTAGAGTCTGACCGTACGTATGGGGGCACAAGGCTGTATGACTGTATGTATGGGAGTACAAGGCTGTCAAACTGCAAGCCGCAGTGTGCTTCATTCTGAAATCCTTTCTTTTTTTTTCCTGGGGAGACGCGGAAAGGAGCGAAGGGGGGGGGTCCCCTCACGAGGGATCCGCGAGCCGCACTTGGACCAGCAAAGAGCCGTGGTTTGGCCACCCCTGCTCTAGTTGAAAGTCCAAAGCAAAACATGATGCAAATATCCTTGCAAAACTTGACATATTTGTTTCGTCACAAAAAATACGTTGCGAACAAAGTGGCTGGTCCTGACCCAAACACGAGACATCTTTAGCAGTTCGTAGCTCATTCCTAAGCTTGGAACACACTCTGCTCACTTACACGAGTGGAGTGGCCCTTCAGAGGTTTAGAAACACCAGCAATCTCCAAAGTCCACCGGAGGCAAAAGGTGGTAAAAGGCAGAACTTTGCACCACCTATAGTCTGTTGCAACTCAAAGAGGTAGGGAGAGGGCAAGACGGGTTGGGGAGGAGGAAGCAGACGAAACGCTGGATATGGGAGGGGGAAACCTCCTTCCAGGCCACGTAGCCAGGGGGGGGCCATGGTGCCCGGCCCCCCCCCCCCCAAAATCGTCCATTTTGCTGGGGCCTCCTCTCCTCCCTCCCCCCCATACAGCAAATTGTCATGGGTGGGCCGGGCCCCCCACCCCGAAACAAAATCCTGGCTACATAGCTGCCTCCTTCTCCCTTTAGCATGCCGACTGCTTCCTCCTCTCCGGTCCCTCTCACCCTCGCCCTACCTTCTTGAGTTGCAATGGACTATAGTTGTAGTCCATTAAAAGAAACAATTTTCATGGTTCCTTTTCCAAAATAGTTCGTAGAGTGCTTGTTGTACCCCTAGGCATTTTACATCTAAGGGGATGTAGGCACAAGTTAGTATAGAATTAGAAAATGGTTAATTGCAGCTCTCAGAGACGGCAGGTAACTTTTCAAGCACTGAAATCTGTGAAACTGTTAATGACAACTATGTAGTCAGAGAATGCACTGTAACGCAGTCTAAAAATTTTGTGTTGCAGTACTTGCACAAAGACGAAGACTAATAATAATAAGCTGCACTCAGAAAGTCTCTCACTACTTGCAGATCACAAATAATGAGAGCCACAAACACTGGTATACTTCAATGCTTCTAAGCACAGCAGCGGAGTTGCAGCACCAGTTTTAAAGTCAGCAATGATCATTTGTTAAATTTTTAAAAACTGAGTGAACCTATGGATGTACTTAGCTTTTCTCAACCACAGCCCTCTCGCATTACAATCTTACATAAGAGGCTGCAGTTGTGTCCTACTCCTACAGCACCTTACTTCAGCTGTTCACGATAGTGGCGTAGCCAGAGGGGAGCATATGGGGCTTCAGAACCCCCCCCCCCCTCTTGTCGAAATTCAGTAGACCCTATAATTTAGATGTATTTTGAACCGAAACCCTACGCCCTGAAAAAAAATTCCTGGCTACATCACTGGTTCACAGCTCTGAAAGGGTTCTTCACAACCCAAAAATGGCATAAAAGATGCAAACTATGTTTCGTCGAAGTCGTACAGAATCAATATCTTTAAGACTAATGTTGCAGATTGGGTTTTACAATGCAGCTAAACCGCTCTGCTCCCATAACTGTGCTGCCGACTCAATCTGTTCGAGGCATCGCGCCTTACATAGTGATTTGCTTCATCTTCTTACTGGAAAACAGGCAATCAGGTGCTCTTGAATCAAAGAGCCCAAATCATCTCACTTGCTTGAGAGCATAGGTTGACTTTGCAAGTTTCCTTACAATAACTACAAGGTATCCTCCGACGTCCCTATTGAGGACTCGCCATTCGCCGAAACGTTTCGTATTAAGCTTCCTTCCGCAAACCACCACTCGCCAACATATATACCACCTTTCCAGCTTCAAAGTGTGTTCCAACCCCTCCCATGCCTCTATGTAGTAGAGTGCACTTAACAAAACAAACAGCCTGCATATCACGCCTGTGCTCTGTGCAGTGCCTATGCTATGCTGTCAGTACTGAACCCGATTGAACGCGCTGTGCGCCTGTTCTAAACTGTCAGTATTGAGATTGAGCCTACCAGCCAGAGAGAAACCAGGAACAGAGCCCACAAAGCGTGCCATGCCAAGCCTTTTAATACCACACCGTGTTCCTACCAAGCCAAGAGAAGACAGAAGGCACGCAGAGGGGCCGTAGTAGACACAGAACCATCACCAAGAGACGCGAGAAAGAGAAAGGGCAAAGCTGGACACAAGCAGGGAAAGGAATCATTCAAGAGTACCACTTACGGAGCGCAGGCTCCCGTTCTTTCTCTCGATCCCGGTCTTTGTCCCGATCCCGGTCTTTGTCCCGATCACGGTCTTTATCCCGATCACGGTCCTTATCCCGATCCCGGTCACGCTCACGGTCCTTGTCTCGGTCGCGGTCCCGGCGGTCGCGACTCTTATCCCTACTCTTGTCGCGACTTTTGTCGCGGCTCTTATCACGACTGCGGTTGCGGTCGCGACTCCTGCTCCGGTTCCGACTGCGGTCTTTGCCGCTGCGATCCCGCGAGGAGCGGTCTTTGTCCCGGTCTCGGTCTCGGTCCTTTCGGCTGTCCCTGTCGCGGTCACGTTCGCGGTCACGTTCGCGTTCACGATCACGATCCCGGTCCTTCTCGCGGTCGTCGTGGTCCTTCTCGTACTTGAGGGGGGGCACAGTCAGCAGCGTTGGCGGTGGCGGCGGCGGCGCAGGCAACGTCGGGGGCGCCGGCGGGGGTGCGAGCACTGCGCTGACGCCGCCGGTGCCATTGGGCTGCGTTGCGGCGGGGGGCAGAACGCCAGCCATGTAGCTCGGCTTCAACAAAGACACGCCGGGGCCCGCGGTGGGTCTCGAGCCCGGGAACGATATGCGTCCTAGCGGAGTCGTGTTCGCACCGGTGGCCATAATCGAAAACTCTTAGAACAAATGGTCAGGTATACTTAGGGCTGGGTTTCTGTAACGAGTCCGTGCGAATGCGTAAGATTTCTCAACAAGTTCCACCACAGTCCTGGCACCCGAACATGGCGTCGATGAAAGAATCGCAGAGCGGCATGTCACGTGACTTTTTATCGATACGTCATTTAGCTCTTTATTTTGTGCAATATATGTAAACTAAAGTAAATATAAACGCATTTTTAATGTTTATACAAAAACATTGAATTATAAATAAGGTAACTATTTGTTATAGAGGACGCTAGTAAAGAGTCTTAAAAGTACTTAAAAGCATAGAGTTATTACAATAAACGCTAGAGGCTCAGCTGGCGCTAGTGTCTAGGGGACTTCCGGTTGCAAATTGAAGCAGACAGCATGCAGTCTACATTTCTAGCCTCCCTATGGGAAAACGCGCGTGAATTATGTCTCTTCGCCGGAAAATAGCATGAATAACTTTTGTCACTTCAGTTGTACCGGATAGTATGCACCTTTATTGGTATTGTGAAAGTGTAATTGCTTTAGTTACAGCATTTTTCTCTACCACTGAACGATGTTAAACTTCGCTCTATATCAGGTCCAAACCTCTCTTTCAAGGGTTTCAAGGATGGTATGTGAAAACGAGCGACGATTCTAAGCAAACTAACGATCGCAAGGAATGTAGAGTGTGTTCAAGGCTTGCTAGCATTTTGGTGGTAATATGCCCGTCCTGTCATTGGATGAAAATTACTCCGTCGTGCGCACCTTTACGATATCGGTTAAAGAAACATTTGAACTAAAAAAAAAAAATAATAATAATAATAAATAAAGCACATGAGCTACGAACGGTGTCTTTTTATTATCTTCTATGTCGGGCAGTTTTTATCGGGCACCTGCTCTCTCGCTCCCCCTATTTGCAAAGATTCGGAGCGTGTGGGTGATGATTTGAACCCAGAACAAGCATCTTCGCACATATTCATGAGCAGAAAGAATAAAGCAGTACTTATTTATTGCAAATCTGACTATATTACGTGACTTTCAATTTATTTTGATCGTCTGCGTGCACAAGGACTTACTTATCCAGTGTTACTGCGTAGTTCTTGCAGTCTGTTTTGGTTTTCCACATGTCCTTCGATCGTTTGGCACGTATAGACCGTTCCATTAGGGTCATAGCAGAGAGGGTAAAAGAGAAAAAAATGAACTCTCCCTCTCACCCCGCATGTCGTTCGCTCCCCCGAGTGGGCTGTAGCTAGCGTCCGGCTGGCCTGGAAACTCTGTTTAAAATCACGTTATTTTGGAACTTTCAAGCGCAGATGCGCAGATTTTGGTATGCCAGTTGTCGTGTAATATTACGCTAGATAAAAAGACTCACAGGGTCCAATTGCGCTGTTACCTGCGAGCAAATAAAAAAAAAATAGGGAAAACTGTGTCAGATTGGCCGGTCTCTTTGGCGAAAAGTAAATCCGGTGGCTGTACCTTTTTTACTATACAAAAGTTCGTACTGGTGTAGGGCCTTTAGCGACCATAAATGGAAGAATGAAATAATAAATAAAACGTGCTCTCCTGCCGCAATACAAGCAGTAGTTGGGGGTAGTACTGCCGGCTGACTCAACTGCTATTTAAGTAACGGAAAAAAGATATGCTAGTTGATCATTTAGCAAAATAGAACAACAGAGAGCTATAGGTTGATTTTGGAGTAGCCACAACTATTCTAAGAACGCGAACCACTTCACAACGGTAGCCACGAGCGAGAGTTCGATGTTCGGTAGAGCCCGCCGATACAGCCCAAAGATGGAGGATGGCAACCTCCCGGTTTGTCGTCTGCTAGCGGAGTCTGGCGCGTGCCCTCTCTCTCGTTTTACCCCGCCGAACCCGCTGAACTTCCCGGATGTGTGGAGAGGGCGCTGCGGTCGAACAAAATGGTGCCGCCCAGAGAGCGCTAAATGGAATGGTTTATATCCCCCATGCTGGAAAGCGTCGACGCCGTGTTCGCGCTAACAGTGTCCGACAGTGCACATGTAATTGGTCAGTTACACAAAATGCTGTAACTAACCAATTATTTCGTCTGCGTGACTGTGAAATGTTACAATGTGCCTAGTACGTACCAATTATTAGTGATATTTGCTCTTATAATCGAGCGCAGAGAGAAAATGCATTCGCTTTTTCCCATAGAAATGCATTACCGGAAGCCAATTTCTGACTGCATGCTGTCTGCTTCAAAATCTTCAAAATGCAGCAGCACAATAGTTGAGCACAATTTACATAGGTAAGTGGACAAATGAATGTTTAGAAACTGTTGAAATTAGAAGGCCTTTTGCGCCATGTAGCGAGTTTATAATTTTAACATTTGTTTTTACAGGAAAATCAGACCGTTTATATGCTACAGATGATAGACCTGTGGCTTGATTTCATTAATCAACAATGTATGCAGAATTTTTTTTTTTTTTTTTTTTTTGCACCTTGTCCTGTTTCCTTTCGTCTGTGTCCCTGTGTCTTTTCGGCGCTGTTTTAGGGCGCCGCCATCTTGCTCGATAAGGGTGCGCTCGGGCGCGTCCGTAATCGGACTCTGACGCGCCAAGCGCTCCCGAATGGAAAAGATGGCGGCGTCCTGAGGTCAGACTTGTAAACGTGTATACTCGGCGTCAACTGTTCTGTGCTACGTTGTAAAAGCTAGCTTAACTTTCACACTGCTCCAACTCTGTCAAAGTTAATTGCCCGAGCGCATGCAAATGATACGCAAAAGATAAAGCCACGCACTGTTAGAAAATTCCATCAATCTACGTGGAAAAACCGAGTGGAACATGTCCCGTTTTCTGGAAATGCACATAATGTGCTGTTTGCTTTCAAAAACGGGATCTGTACCATATGCATTGAAATGTGCTATTTAAGCAATAAGTATGAGCTTATCTGTATCAATAAAAAAAGCCTTACTAGATTACAGTTTATAGTCTGTTCAACTGGTATAAGCGGATTGAACGCGCCCAAAAGTGCCGGATATCCAGGAATTCTTATGGAACTCAATCAGACCGCGGAAGTACAGCGCCCGTGAGCCGAGTTACGCCGCGCGAAGGAAGACATCTCTCTCCCGCGCATGCGCAAGCCGCTGCCGGCTGGCTTGAGCCCGGGGGGCGTATTGTGAGACCCCCCACGGCAAAGCCCCGCGAGAGAGAAAAGAAGGAGGGAGAGGAGGAAAGGGAGGAGAGATGAATACCGCGATTGGCTGGCGCAGTCACGTGGTACGCGCGCGCTACGGGCTGTTCTAAGCTGCGTGCAGCCCCCCTCCCCCCCGCTACCGCCGACGCGAGCAGACGTCCTGCCGTTTTGTTTTGGAGTACTCCACGCCCCAGTCGAAAAAGTGCATTGGTGCAGTCCTAGATATTGGAAGGTATCGTTAGTGTGAAACTGGATAACATACGCGCACAGGTCTCAATGCTGACTGGGCAGCTACGCTACGGCCGTTTTATGCTTTCTGCCGTAACGTTCGCGTACTCCTGGGGGGCTATGTTGCGCTTTTTGCACTCCCAGGAGACTTGGAAGAGGGAAGTGACGTCAACGACACAGCAAACGCAGATTGCATGTTGACAGAAGAGAACGAAATCAACACCCAATCTGCGCTTGCTGTGTCGTTGACGTCACTTCCCTCTCCCTAGTCTCCTGGGAGTGCAAAAAGCGCAACATAGCCCCCCAGGGCGGAAGGGTGAGTTTAGGCCTAAGGACCCGTGACCGCTGCCAGCGTTCCGAAGTCATTTACGGCCTGGAAATAAACCCAGCTCGTTTGGCTTTCGCTAAAACGTCCAGTGTAGCTAATGTTTTATTTCATTCGAACGACGCGCCGCTGCGGTGTTGTGTAGTCTGCCCTACAGCGATGCCCAACTCGCCGCTTGGCAGCATTATTCACGGGGGTAACATCATTCGCCCGTTGCTGGCCTCAACAGGAATCGCGCCAGGTACGTATGAGACGCCAACATAGCACAAGCGGTGATCTGGACCGCGAGTGCACGTCTGAATTGTGCTTTGCATATACACTGTCACGCCTCTGCAAGAATCAATCGCGCTCCCCGCAGCTAGTCGAAATGGAGAAGTGCATTGTCAAGCCTGTAACCCTGCGGCGAAATTGATCTATACCCGATGTCAGCTTTTTTGTGCTCCACTGGAAACGGTACTAAAGCGTGAACGCAGCTGCTTCGACCAGTGCTTTTTTTTTTTTTTTTGCGCGATCACTCGAGGGGCTGAAGCATGTCCGCGGGCAGCGTGCACGCACTCGTACACCCACAGTGGAGTGACGCGAAGTGACGTAGCGATTGTTACAAATTTAGCGAAGGAAGCGGGCAGTGAGAAAATATTCCACAAGCCGACTGGCCATCTACTGTCATCGTCCTCGCCTGCAGCGACGACTGGGCACGTGTGTGAACGAATTGGTTGATGTCAAGGGTCGTCCTCGCTGTGCTTACCAATTAGCCTCTGCAATGTGATATGCCCACATGCCCACTGTTATGCGTACGCATGCTGCAGACAGCAGGTGTCAGATTTGTCCTAGCTATGCTTACCTCAGAATATCTTCAAAGGATTGTATTCACACATGTCCGCAAGCCTCGGATAGTTTTGCCCGAGTGACTTGGAGCCTGTGCTCGACACAGGGGGGCTATGTTGCACGTTTTGGACTCCCAGAAGACTAGGGAGAAGGAAGTGACGTAGGTGTGAATGAACGTGTCTTGGCAACTTCTGCAGATACTGTCATCAGCGACTACACCAATCAACATCCAGCGAGCATCGTTGACGTCACTTCCTTCTCCCTAGTCTCCTGGGAGTCCAAAACGTGCAACATAGCCCCCCGGTGCGAGGGCTGGCTTTGCCTGCCTGACCTCCATCTTTCTTTGCGACTACAAAAAGCTGGCCAAACTGGCACCTGGCATTGGTGAATAGGTAGTCTAGACATAAAGGGAAACCGAGGTCAGCCAGCGTGAACTTTGCTTCAGCAACAGGGTTTCAAAATGCAGCCGCAAAAAGATGCACTACATGTTGGGCACATTGCCATTGACGTTTCTGTTTCCAGCAGCTACAAAAATAAGCACTCTCATCTCAGTTTGTCCTCTTTTCCAAACTTGGTGATGTTAACCACTTGCGAGGTTCCATCAACCCAAAT